GTGTGTACGTGTTTGTGTTTGTGTGTGTGTAAGTGTGTGTGTGTGTATGTGTGTACGTATGTGTGCCTGTGTGTGTAAGTGTGTGTGTACGTGTTTGAGTTTGTGTGAGTGTGAGAGTGTGTGTGCGTGTGTGTGTGTGTGTGCGTGTGTGTGTGTGTGTGTGTGTGTGTGTGTTAGTAAAATAGAGAGTGAATGAGGGAGTGTTTGTGTATGTGTGTGAGTGAGTGTGTTTCTGTGAGTGTGAGTATACAGTCTGTGTGCGTGTGAGTGTGCGTGTATGTGAGTTCGTGTGTGTGTGTGTGTGTGTGTGAGAGAGAGATAGAGAGAGAGAGAGAGAGAGAGAGAGAGAGAGAGAGAGAGAGAGAGAAAAGGAGAGAGAGAGAAACAATAACCAAACAGTTTAATTCTTTTAACAATTATACCTAGAATATGTTTAAGTTTTTTCTTTTTTTATAACATTTAAAATTTGAATTTTGACAAAATATTTATTGAGCGTTTGCAACCAATACCACAAATCAAGAATCTGCTATATTCTAAACTAGCAGGGTACTCCGTTCGATGAATGGACTCTTTACTTTACTTTTCCAATCCAAGATGAAGGGAATCAAAAGAATCCATCGTCAAGTCGCAGTGGGTTTTGTGCGCACTGCATGTGAACGGTAGTCTCACTTCTTTACAATGGTGTCTTAGAAGACGGACTTTCCCAAGATTAGATCTAAACGAAACTAATGAAAAACTGAAAATTAAACTACTGAGACATCAGACACTTTAATATAAATGTGCACCCTTTAATTAATTCTGAACCGCCGTTAATATTTTCATATTCGAAAATTAAGTGGTTGGGAAGTTTTAGGCGGCCAAAGTGATGAACTTTCACAAATATAATATGTATTGCAAAATTTTGGGCTTGGTATATGTTATTTTTTTTGGTAAGAGTTTAACGGCACTTGCAACACAATAAGGTCAAATAAGTGCAACAGATTAGAGATGTTACAAGCGAGTAACAAACACAAAAAAGAAGGAGGAGAGATCAGGACGATAGATGTTTGAAAGGAAAGAAGGAGCAAACAACACCAGAGCACCCACCAACCATCCACCTGCTACATGTTAACGGCAGATCGACGTTATGTGCGTTTATGCAATGTTAGAAGTGTTGAACCTCCCGTGGTGTCTTTCTATCTATTTTTACCCTACCCCTTCCTAAATATTTTTAAAATGTTGCTGTTTTACATCCCCATCGGCACAGTTTAGATCATTCAAGAGGTACGATCGATTCGACATTGCCTGTCCGGATGCAATGTCCGAGAGAAAGACTAATAATTAGACACTTGATTCTGCCACACAGATGCTGGTCCTCCCTAAAAGAAGAAACAAAAAACAAACAAAACAAAAACAAAACAAAAAAACAAACAAAAACAATAACAACAACAATAATAACCACCACCACCACCATTACCACCGCCACCACCACCACCACCACCACCACCACCACCACCACAACAACAACAACAACAACAACAACAACAACAACAACAACAACAACAACAACAACAACATCAACAACAACAACAACAACAACAACAACATCAAGAACAACAACCATAAAAAAGAAAGAAAAATTTAATCATTGCGGATTGGGCAATAAGCCAGAGACCCTCACCTGACTTAACGGCTAAATTGGTAAGTTTGGTTCGACTCTCACCTTTAAATAGCTAATCGACCGTACATCTCACGTGTATTTACATAGCCAATCGACCATTGAATGTACCGTTCCGCCACTAAAGACAATGGCATTGCGCTGTATTGGTCTACGTGCTACGACCGCTGATAACGGCGAATGTGCAAGGGGATCTACGATTGTTGGCATCGGTTCGAGATGGTAAAACGTTCTCATGATTTCCAAATATTTTCACAATTGATTATCTCGTTTAGAAAGGAGTGGTGTGCACAGTTCGAGAGCATTGCGCAAACCGAGAGATGGAATGTTATATGTATTGCCAATGTTGTCACTTTGCTGCTCTAGGCTGTTGCCAAAACGTAACAGCTCCTATCTCAATATGCTTCTTCTATCTCTCGACTCTTTGCCAACTACATATATATGACCAGAATATTGTTTCATCTGTGGAAGTTAGATTTCTCCTAAATAGGCAATATTCAGCCCCCCTTCCCTCCTGAAAAGACAACGAAAAGACCACCCCCCCCAAAAATTTTTTTTAAAAATTCCCCCCAAACCCCCAACCAACATGCCTCCTCCCCACTCCCTAAAAACAAGAGAAGCAGCAAAACATCCAAGCTACAAAACAATCACGAAGCAAACAAAACAAACAAAATATTTAAAATAAAATAATCTACCCCCCGTCAAAAAAAACCCCAGAGAAAAGAGAAAGCCTTTTTTTCTTACCGCTTCCAGCCAGACGTTGGTCGTGAGCACTTGGTTCTTCTCGTCCTGGGAACAAAAGAAGTTACACAGGTTAGAGATTGCTGGATCGTTTGTTTTATTTTTCGATTGGTTGTTGGGTTGTTTATCGAGGAGGACCGAGGAAAAGCGACAGTATTTTCGCCGTTAGGAACTTGGAAACAGCAACAGTGCAGAGCGAATACTTTGATCGCATTGATCGTGGTATCGATACTCAATGTTTTTGTTATGTTTTTATAGCTTGCAGATTAAGTTAGAATGATTAATGAGATGAGATTTTTCAGGATTGGGACTACGCTAATAGCATTTATCATTGTAGGCAGTGGACAGGTTCTGTCTGTCGCGATCCTTTGTCTGGATACATCAGTTAAGTCTCTTGCTATTTTGAATGCTGATTTTTACTTTACCTTCAGCTTCGTCATTTTCTGCTCCAGTGCAGTTTCTCCAAAATGTCAAATATGTTTGGATGAGGAATTTTGGACAAGTCTTTAAAATGCCTATGGAAGCTCATACAAGAGTTAGCGGAGCGCCTTTCGTGTTGATTTCTCTACATTGATGGTGGAAATGGGGCATCGTCGGCAATGTTATTGAGTTCTAGTTTATGAAAATCGAGACGAAATGCATCCTGCCTCGCCTAGTTTTATTCGATTCTGTAAGTGATTACACCAAGTTGGCTTTTAGCAAAGAAATACGTAGAGTAAAACGCTAGTCGTTGTTCTCAGGTCGTCCACAGTCTGTGTTTGCCAGTAACGATGACGTTAAAGTCATTCTTCCCTAGCGCAGCCGTTTGTTGAAAGCAATCGGAAGACCGACAGACAGACAGGCACATGACCAAATTTACAGACGGATGAACACGTGACTTCACCAAAGAGATCACAGTTTGTTTTCTGGAAGCATAAGAAGCACCAGCGAGCAAGCAAAGATAAGAGAAATAAGTCTCTTATCCTGTAAGTTTCGTTTGCCGCATTCAAGAAACTGGTGCGGCAATTGTTATCCTTGTTGTTGTTTGTGGTGGTGGTGGTAGTGGTGATGTTGCTGTTAATGTTTGTGATTGGTGAGTGTGAGTGTGAGTGTGAGTGTGTGTGTGTGTGTGTGTGTGTGTGTGTGTGTGTGTGTGTGTGTGTGTGTGTATGTGTGTGTGTGTCCCACTGGTTTCATTTTTTAGGGCAACAGAGTCAATAACAATTTGTCCCTTGAGTCTGTCCGCGACCTCAAGAAGAGTGCTTCTCGCCATGGTCATGGGCTCCTTCGGGTAACGTGTAAGACAGTTCAGGCTTTCTTTGTCCTTCTCGAAAAACTGTCGTTAGCAGAGGAGAGGGACATATCTTAGAGTGTTGTTGATGCTGTTGTCGTTTTCGCTATTATTGTTGTTGTTGTTGCTGCTGTTGTTGTTGCTGTTGCTGTTGTTGTTGTTGCTGTTGTTGTTCTTGTTGCTGCTGCTGCTCCCCTGTTGTTGTTGTTATTGTTGTTTTTGTTGTTGTTGCTGCTGTTGTTGTTGTTGTTGTTGTTGTTGCTGTTGTTGTTGTTGTTGTTATTGTTGAGGTTAAACACACTACTAGACACAATGTGCACCATTTTGAGACGGAGCACTTGATTCGCCGCTACTTCACTGGGCTGAAAGCAATAAATATTCCCGAAACGACGAGGAGAATAACGCTTGATCCCCTCGGATTCGTCGATCCTTGAACCTCCTCATCTCAAAATGAAGTTCCCTACTGAGCCACAGTGGCTGTTTTTCCTCAATTTTTTTTATGGACGTTAATACCACTAGCGACAGCATCCCGCACTGGCGTGCTGAGGGTCAAAGTTGGGACCCCCCCCACCTCCCAACATCCAGGCAGGCTGCATGCAACAAAGTGTCTTTTTGACGGCTTTGTTACCCTTGTATGACCACGGCAGCTCGTAGATTCCACCATAATTGTTTAAACAACGGAATGGCGTCTGTGGCGTAGCGGTTAAGATCTTCGCTGTTGCATGCAGGAGATCTGAGTACGATTCCGGAATGGAGAGAAAATGTTTATCGAGTACCTCGGTTTTTCTGCTGCAATGTATCCCTCTCATCCCAGGTTGTTCCTGACAGGCATGGTCGGAAGGCCTCCTCCTGCACGATCGAAATTGGATATATGGGGCAAAACACCTGCATCAAAATGTGCAGCGGAAATCAGGTACGTCGTACAAGTCTTGCCCCCAGAACTTTCCACCGAATTTCGTTTTAATAAAGCAAGAGTGTCGGGTTAGAATACCATTAAACAGCACCAGGTAAATAGCCATTAAATATCAGCAATAAATCGTTCTACACAATACTAGACAAAATCGTGTACAATGAGGGCTAAGATTCAGATGACCCTGTTTCAGAACCCAGTGAGGTGTTCTTGAACTTAGGATTGTTTAGGAGGTATTCTCAAAGCCTTTCTGGCTCGGTCCTGTGTAAGACGGATTTTATATTTGGAGGTCCTGTCCCTTATATATATATATATATATATATATATAAAACATTAAAATGTTGAAACCGACAGTTAACCCCTTGCCATGCAAAGCCATCTCTCTCTCTTGCACTTTTTAACTCCCAGTGGAGCACAGGCCATTAACAGCATTACTCCAGCGAAGCCTGTCCTGAGCATCCTCCATCTTCCAGAACTGGCGGTCGTGTTGTTTTTGCTGTTGATGTTTTTGTAGCTGCTTTTTGTTTAACGGGAAAGGGCTGCTAACCCTTTGCCCAACCGACCTTAGTCGCCTTCTACGACTTGCGCGGTACGAATACAGTGGTCCTATTCTTTGCTCCCCTGTCTCTTGGACAGGGCCCCGAGAACCACACGGATGATGCAATGCCATGCCAATGTAAAACTCTAGAGAGGTAGGGTTTTGTTTTGTTCTGTTTTCTTTTCTTTACTTATTGTTGTGGGTGTTTTACTTCCCCTTCGACACAGTTTAGTACATTTTGAAGGTGGTCATCGACCCTGCCTGTCAGGGTCAACCCAGACTGAGAGGGATACAACGCACTAGCAGAAAGAACGAGATATACGATAAAAATTCACCCCACTCATGAATCGAACAGTCTTCTGCGTGCAGCGGCAATTAATGCCTAGCCCCCACACCACAGACTTTGGTTTAGAAAGGCTTGTAACCTACAATCATTTCAATTTAGAGCACCAACGAGCAAGCAGTTATTTTCTTAGTTGCATGCTCCCACCACAGTCGGCCCAGTCTACCAACAGTTTCCGGCAGCTGGTTAAGGGCGACCTATTACCTTAGGGGGAGGTATCGATGCCAAACTCGAGAATGTCTCAGCATGGTGGTCTTGCGTCAGGTAGTTTTTCTATTTATATAAATTTAGCCCTTTCTTTTTAGCTCTTTAATGTATCTCCAACTCTTTTGTCCACGAAGTCCAAAGTTGACATATATGAGGTCAAAATATTTCTTACAGTGAAGTGAAGTAATTCCTAAACAAAAGTCGTGGCGCCCTATAGAAGTATAAAGTTATACTTGTTCAGTACCTAGTTTTGAGAAATTTGACGTAAAGAAATTTGAGTTTCACATGTCAAGCTTCTTCAAAAGCAATTCTTTGAATATCTTTATAACGCCTCCCAATCATCTTACGATTTTGATAGAGCAGGTAGAACATTTGGTTTGTGACCTTAAGGTCTTTGTGACTCAAATCGGCCAAAAAATGCCAGACAGAACTTTGTAATTCTAAGTTAGCAAATTTGTCACGTTACATACTTTGCACCCGGTAGCGGTAGCTTAATTAGCCCCGAATAAATCTACGACATTGTCCATTAAAAAACCCCAATTCTATCAATGAGATAAAAATTGCGTTTCAAACATTCATGTTATTATTTTCTTTGCTTTTTTCGAGGACAGGCGGGGGAGAGGGACGTATTCATCACCGACAACGATCAAAGTACACAATACTCGGTATTTTTTCATATTCAAAATGTGGTATCGACCAAGTTCTATGCTACTTAAACGCTACGTTCCCCGAGGGAAGCTTCTTTATTCTATTAGCGCTGAAGTCTTCCGCTCTGCCTGTGAGCCAATCAGATCATTACAAGGACAAGGGGAACTACTCCCGGCCAAGTAGATAAAGGAGTTATTGGTTTCCATGGAGATCTGTTCTGGAATAGTAACTGGTGGAGAAATTATGGACTAAGGAGAAAACCATGTTTAGTTTCTTTCTCAATTTTCATTCTACGCATGTTTTTGCTTGTTTGCTGAAATTAAACGCTGCATTTGACAGTAAAAAGATGATCACGAAATAAAGAGCATGATGAATATTAAGTGTGTACTCAACAGGACAAGAGACTGAGATAGAATATTTCAGGAAAACCGAAAAAAATAAAATAATTAGGGACATATGTTTAACTTTTGGTAAAGAACTTGAATTTCCTGGAATTGATCAAATTCATAGGCAACTGTACTAGATTATATATACCACCTGGATTATTTTGCTGCGTTTGTTTGTTTGCTTTTATGCGTAGTATAACGCCTTAAACTGTTAATGGGTGACAGTTTACTGACACGTACTCTGTTGAGCACACTTTAGATCGTGATCGTATAGAATAGCAATAACACTTCAAACACAATAACAATATGATTTCACCTAGAACTTAATATAAAGTGTAGACAGATGCTAATCTAGCATGTCTTAAGGAACAATCTACATTTTGAACGGTTATCGATTTGACATTTGCTGTTACCTAGAATAGTTTGTCAAGACCCCAACCTGAACCATCACATGCATTCATGTGCTTAAAAGTCCCTTCCGTCGTCCTAATTAACGACATTATCGAGTTTGATACATCTTTAGTACAGTCTATGTCTAATACTCACATCTCCCTTTCTTACTGTAAAGAACTACATGAGCATACGATCATCCCTTTAGCCTTCTTCAAAATGCTATCTGCCCCCTCTCCATTTTCTACCCTGGCTTATAAGACGAACACTTATCTCATCTTCTCCGAGGCATAATGCGTTCACGTAACATAAAATACAATTCTGGTGCCATCCACCATGATCATTCCCTATGGCTA